TTTAAACTGCTGGCTACTCAACTTCACGTTGACCTCCATGGTAATGGCCTCTCTGGTTCTCCTCTTACTTCTCTGGCTGCTTTTTCTAAGTCTCTTCTGCCTGTTCTTTATATATGACTCTTCTGAGCAGGATGGTGTAGGGTGTGGAAGCCAAACAATTCTCTCCCGAAAGTCCATTGAAATAATCAGTAGAGTGGGAAATAATTTAAAGGGGGAAATAATTGATCACTATTGAAAAGTAAGTTGGAATCATCTGTAAACTAAAAATCTGGAGGAATGTCTTCTAACAATAACTATGGGCTTGGATTGAAAAAAGCCAGTGAGTGTGAGTACTACTCTCCTTTTGGAAGGAGGACAACTTATCTAGAAAGCAAGTACCACAACACGCTAGCTGACTCCACTGACACTCCCCAACTTGGAGAGGCCAGGGCAGCACTATCCTGGCAGAGAGGACGTTGGGGGTTTTGAGGGGCCTGCTGAGAGGTCCACCTCCAGAAGTATCTTCTGGTCTTTGTGGATCTCTGATACTGTTTCCTTCTGCCAGCTGCAAGGACTGGTTTGCTACAGCCTGAGCAGAAAGCTGAGTGCTATGTGTGTACATAGCAGCCTGGCGGTCCTTTTCCAGAGCATCGCAGCAGTGCCCAGACAGGCGTCCAGCTGCGGCTTAGGTTTCCTATTCACTCAGACGCCTTGCTGGTGACCTCAGTGCTCATTACCTTGCTGTGTCCAGCCTTGCCTTCAGATTTAGTCTGCCATCTGCCCATGCCTGCCCCCTGCCCCTCTCCCCTGCCTTCGCTGGTTTTCCAACCCGTGACTTGGGCAATCCATCTACCCTCCCTAATCTCATCTATAAACTGTGAGACCTAGTACCACACATGAGATGGTGTGGTTGGCCTTTTGACCAACCCAATCCTGGCAGTCAGGAATATCACTTCAGCTCAAATAAATATTTTAAAAAATGTATGTCTTTGATTTATAAATTCTCACCTCCTTTATAGTTTTCTCGGGAATTAATTCATCAAACTCTTTGATACAGTTTGGGTTCAAAAAAAATCCCTCAGAGGGATATGATGCCGCAGCTATGTAATTTCAACAATTTGCTCACTTCAAGATATTTCCCTAAGTCCATCCCAGGTGACTGGGACATAATTTGGCTGTTAGTTTGATAAGGATACATAGTGCTTTCTGATGAGATGAAGTGAAGACAGCCAGCAGGAGAATAAAGACAGTTACAGTGTTTAAATTTCAAACAGTGAGTGAAAATGCAACAGGTCTCTCTGGGAAAATAGCCAAATATAAAATAAATCTTTGTTTCATAGGGAATTAAATTCCACTGTTGGAGTTTTGCATGGAGTGAAGGGAGGATATCACTATAAAACACTCCTTCCCTGCCCAAGTACAGGATCAGTTCAAAGACAAAAAGAGTTAGATACTTTCTAAATAAGAGACAATTTCTCCCATTCCCTTTCAAAATTTTCCATTTCATTATTTTTCCTCCTTGGTATAGAGGCAGTGAGGTAGGAAGATGAGTTGCATGGCAGTCATCTGGCGGCATATCCATCTGCACCCAGGGACAAAAGAACACTAGCGAGGAGAGGAAGGAGCTGCGCGGGAGCACATTGGTATTGAGCTCAGTGGTGCCCAAGAATGAAGAGATGAAATGCATAACTGTTAGACAGAGGAGACAGCCAGCATGGCTGGGAGACTGTGTGTAATCGCAATAAGAAAACCAATTGAACAAATAATTAAATATACTTAGGATTAAAGAGCCAGGTTTCTCACCACTGGAGAAGGTGAAACATGGGAAGAGACAAAGTTGAAAAGAACTCTGAGATGCTGTATCATAAATATTGGTATAAATTCATAGGTATGTATATATAATATATATACATGCCTGTACACATATGTACACTTACTAGCTCTATCCATTGAAAAAAGTTTATAAGCGATGATACTCTAGTAGCAGTGAGTACATCCAGTAGTTAGATCTTGGTTTTCAAATGCCATCCTTTTCTAAAACACCAGGACTCCTTGGAGAAATGGCTGATTCCAGAGCTGGTGCAGGGAATATACAAAATAATCCTGGAATATCTTTTTCCAGAAAGCAAGAAAGTATTCACAGAATAATGGGGACTTGTCAAAAGATCACAGGAGCCTGTTGATGGATCTCCCATTGGCAAAACCTGGACCAATTTAAACATGAAAATAATTATAGTAATTTATAACCAATGAATAAGATAGGAACCCATGAGTCCATAATAATATGAATAAACAAAGAATAAATAAATATATTGGAGGGGAGGTTCTTTTTTACAGTAGAATATCAACTAATAAATCTAGCTAGAATGCTGGAAATAGAAAAATCACACTTCAGCAACCTTCACAGTAGTGGTCCATTCAGGAGAAGTTGTCAGTGAAGACTAGGCCTGTAACGGGAGGTTAGACAGAAAAATTTTGCAACACATCCCACAAAGTGCTCATCAACTATAAAGGTAAATGATGACTTTATACTAGAGGAAACTGCAGATAATCAGGTGAGTAAGATTAGGCTCACTTTAGTGGTGGTATGGATTGACAACGCTTGCTCCATCTCAACTTTAGAAAGTGCACAGCATCATTTCTGAGGAATTCTTGCCAACTGGTCCAAGTGTGGCCATGAGGAAACATTGGACTAACATTAAGGATCATTTCTCCAGAGGAGAGGGTGTGTATTCTCAAAACTGGCACAGATGTAAGCGGTGAAACTGCTGAGGACTTGAAAGGTAGGTAAATAGGGAAAACAGTGACAGCCTGGAGGTGACTTTAGAGATTGACAATAGCAGCTTATGTTCCTGGAAGGGAGAGTGTGCCAGGAAGGAAGAGGAGACATTGTCAGGGAAGCTGGTAAAACTGGAATTGGGGCAGGGTGCAGGGTGTGCAACTCTGTGAATTGAATGATGGTATTGTATTAATGTTGATTTCCTAACTTGGAGGGTTATATGCTAGTTAAATAGCAAAATGTCCTTGATTTAGGGAAATACACTCTGAAATATTTAGGAGTGATGGCACATGCAACTTGTTCTTAAAAGGCTCAGAATGTAACTAATATATATAATGTTAATATGTAATTAATATGTAATATATAATAATATGCACATACAGAGATGGAGCAACTGTGACAAAATGTGAACAATTATGAATCTGGGTGAGAGGAAGGTTCTTTGCACAGTACTTGCAATTTTTCTGAAAGTTTGAAAATAAATACAAATTTATTTGAAATTAAATTGAACTTAGGTTAATTAGCATTTAGATTAAATTGAAAATAAATTCATATATCAATTTCAGAAAAATGTTTAAAAGTTAGTTACAAGAAAATGTCAGCTTTGTTTCTTTTTTTTAACCAATAAAAGCTAAGTTGAAGAATGTATAGCACTTTTCCACCTGGGACAAATAGTGGAGGGCAACCTTAGGCCTCCCCTGAAGGAACTGTCTCTTTACTATGTAGACTAAAATATTTGCATCCTGAATTTAGGCTGATCCCAAAAGAGGATGAAGTATTGGCTGAGCCTTATATGCCCTGTCCCTTCTTTCAAACTCACCACTCACATGAGTCTCCTCCAGAACATCCCAAATACAAATACCCAAGGAGGAGTGTGGATCAGAATGAGTAACTAAAGTCTCTCTAAGTGGAAACACAAAGACTGAACCTAAATGTTATCCCTCAGCAGCCTTGTTGTGGGGAGACTCCTGTTTTTCAGGTGTTGGTGGGTTGCTCCAAGGGATCCCCAACTATCTTGGGGGCCACTGAGCCATGCAGTTTCCTGGGGAATCCTCTGCTCCTGTCCCCTCCCACTGAGACTTTTGCAGTTGATGCTGCATCTCTGTTACCTGCACAAGCAACTATGTGCCAGGTTGCAAATGAGAACCACAGGGTTTTCTCCCCAACCCAATGCCCACCTCGGAAAGGCCAAATTCCACAATATGAAAATAAGGGGGTATGTCAGGGAGCTTCAAGGAAACAGACTGGGAGCATGTAAGGCAGAATCACAGGAAACAGGGAGTGGTAAACTAATGGAACTTGTTAAGAAAGGGGTGACAAAGCTGGACAATCAACCGACATTTGTTGAGCATTAACTCCAGGCCAGCCCCAGGACATAAAATGAGGAGTTTAGTGTTCAATTGGAGAGACACGTGCTTAAGTACACAATCACAGCACAATGGGACATGTGCTGTAATCTGGTGCTCTGACAGCTCAGGTGGGTCTGGCTAAAGAAATCAGAGAAGGCTTCAGAGGTGATCCTGCACTTCCTGTTGGAGAAAGACCAGGAATTTCTCAGGTAGAGAAGTGGGAGAGGGGAGTGATAAAGGCAGATCAAGCAGCAGTTACGTGTAAAAGCAAGGTAATAATAGAAAGTATAAAGTGTTCAAGTCTGATATGACTGGGACAAAGGTGAGTGTGTTCAAGTTGTGAAGGCTGTGTGTGCGTGAGTGTGAGACAGTCTTGAAGTGCAGGTGGGTAAAGAGATTTCTAGGGAAGAAGGCTAGGTAGGTGGTGTAAGGGTGATCTTTCCTTGCAGTAACTTAAAAGAGGCTGAATCTGCTGGTATAGCTGTGCAGGTCCAGTCCTTTGGGACAAATGACAGTCCCACTCAGAGGGACCAAGGAAAATTCCCAGTATCAGCCGCGTGTTAAAGAGCCAAATACCCCCTCTGCGCTCATCAGATTAATTTGCACGCCAACTGATGCAGACGGGTGGTTCAAGGTGGTGATTGCTCGCCCCGGGTGGCAGCCCTGATCCCAAACTCTCCCAGAGTTTGTTTGTTTTACTACCCCAGTCGGGATGAACTCCTGGGGTATTCCATGTTCGGGTGAGTTCTCCTACCCTTCCCCCTACCCAGTCAAGGACCCGTCCGCACCCTCCTTTCCTAGTCTCGGAGGTCTCCTCACCCCGCCGCTCCTCCCACAGCCCTCTTTCCTTCTCCGCATCTCTCCGGACCCTCCCGTGCTCCCACCGTCTCTACCTTTCTTCCCCACGGCTTCCTTTTCTCAGCTCCGACGGTCGTATCGCCTTCCCTTTCCCGTTTCTACCACTTTCCCTGGCTCCTTTAAGCTCCTCTCCCGCGCTCTCCCGGCTCTTCCTCACCAAGGCTGCGCAGAGGCCCCGCCCACGGTGCGCGGGCGTCCCCCACCCTCTCGCCCTCCGAAGGCGGTGCCAGAGAGCGATTGGTCCCCATTGTACGCCTCCCAGGACTGACAGCCCTTCCCACCCAACCCCGACGTATCCAGCGCACTTCCGCCTCTTGCCTGGAGGAATTTCTGAGTGAGGGGCAGGCTCGTGTCCGCGGCCGACTGCCCTCTACCTGCTGTAACTCTTTCAACCTTTTACTGTGTTCTGAAGGCTGTGATTTTAGGTTCTTGTTTAATTGCTAGGAGAGCTGCGCCTATATTTGCTTTAAATAGGAAACTGAGTCAGAAAGTCGGCTCTTCTGTTCATGGGTATTGGCCAAACTTCGTAAGTCCAGGGAACTCAGTAGCCATGGACTGAATTCCTCCATAAGAATAATAGTAGTTAACACTCCAAATTTACAGTGCAGAAGCCACGGTTATAGACGTTTTATATGAATTTCCTCTGTGAGGTAGCTTATAGCTCATTTCTCTGTGAGGTAGATGTATATTATCCCCATCTTACAGGTGAGAAAATAGGTTACAGACAGGTTAAGTATCTTCCTTACGACCAGCTATTAATACAGCTATTGAGTGGCAGCTAGGATTAGAACGCAGGTAGTCGGACTGCACTGAACCATACTCCAACCCATTGTAAACACTGTCTCCGGTGAATCCTGCTACAATTCAAGAAGCGGATTGTTGAGGCTTCCCTCTTCCTCTTTATCAGGTTTAGAAGACATAGAGGAGGGAGGGTGAGGACGGAGAAGACCAAGAGATTCTTTGCTTTGGTGATGTATTCTCTGTGGCTTGGTGAGTTGGAAGATGAAGTATTTCATTAAATCTGTATACAGTATGTGGGTATCCTTTTGAAATCATTCTTTAAAGCTAACTTGCTAAAATATTAAGGGAAAAAAACTACTAAATGGTCCCATTATATATAAAATGAGAAAAACAAAACTCTTTAATACTAAAACATAGTAAAGACTTGAAGGAGCAGAATATAGGAGTCTGTATGTAGAAAATATTTTTGTTTCTATAATATTTAAACAGATGTGTAGCAGCTATGCACATGTGTGTGGGAAGGGAAGAAAAAAACCTGCCCATTAAGTTTATATACACCTTTCAAATGATGGAGTAGTTACATAAATCTCTGTTCACCCTTAAAATTCCAGAGATTTTTTTCCACAAGTACCATTACTTACCGTATCATGTATATACCACATTGCATCATATAATTTATATAATGACTACCACCAACAAAAATTTTAAGAATTTATTTTATATGGTAACATTTCCAATCTAAGTTCAGGTAAGGTCCATGGGCACTTATTGAACATATTGTTCAATAAGTTTTCATTTACAGTGAACAAGACTAAACTTAACATTTTCTGTTAGAGAGCTTGGTGAGTTGATGGTAGCGCAGGAACTCAAGTAGTTTTGCCTACAAAAAGGTAGTATGTATGAGGAATGGTAAGGAAATGAACCAGTTGGACACACAGTGGTCCACTTGGACATTGAACTCTTCCATTTAGGGACTGGGTAATGATGGCGTCTTTTAGAAAAATGCTGAAATGAAAAGGCAAAGGAATACATAATAGTTCAGATAATACACAGGAACAGGACTGTGTCAATGTTATGCTAAATAGCTGGAGGTGAAGCCTTCAGCAATGACTAAGTGAATAATAAATGTATTTTCCCTTTCATATCTTGAATTACACCTGTAAGGACTTCTGTATGTTAGGAGAAGTAGTTACTTTTCTCCTCCCATTCTTCATACTTAACTCTGCCTCTGCTGGGAAACTCACTCCTCAGGCTTTGTTGCAATTCAGTTTATGCTTTGCCAAGAAATTTCTTTGGTGGGTAACCATTCTAAAAGTTGAGTTAGGTATCCTGAGATCTGTACCTTTGAGGGGGAGAGGATAGAGACTCAGGCTTAATTCTAATATTAATTGACTGGATGAAAATTGTCCTTCAGATTCTGGATGATAATGGCCTTCATTATGGAGTCATCAGCAAACAGTTCTGGCTCTGAAAGAAGAAACACTCCTTATGTTTTGTTCATTTGGTACAATATACCTCAGTGATATGACAACTTGCTGTGAACAAAAGGTGGTTATTTTTTACATTATTCTTTTACTACCTTTGGCAAAGATGACAAAGAGCCACAATAGGAACAAAATAATTTTTTAAAAAAAGCTAGGTCAAGATTATCTAGCTCAGAATTCTAACAATGGATCAAAAGGACTAAATTGGAGAACTAGATTGTCTTCCCTGATGTTTAGCATGTTCAAAACAGGACACCATCCTGTAATTTTTCCTGTATGGAGCCAGAAATGTGAACATAATGCTTCCATTGTGACTGTCATTTATTTGCCATTGACTCTTTAATCTAGACCTCCAGTGCTGACATGTGCACAGACATCTCCAACCCAGCATGTCCAAAACTGAATTAACTTATCTTGTCCCTCACCCCAACCCCACAACTATTCCTCCATATTTCAGTGAACTAGAGTATCCCCTTATACTCAAACCAGAATTAAGAGAACATTCCAGATTCCCTCCTCCCCTCACCCTCCCTTCTATCTAATAGTGGTCATTCATACTGATTCTACTTGGTTCAGTGTATCAGGCATATTTGTCCTCACAAACAGTTACTACTGGTTATCTTTGGTCAGGCTTCCTAGAAACAGAATCCAAAAGGGGATTTGGGGTGCACATGACCTATTGAGGGAGAAAGTTTCAAGATAAATCTGTAAGGGAGGGAGAGAAGCAGACTAGAGAAAGGAAAAGAGCCTAGCAAGGATGTAGTCTCAGGTAAAGTCTAGCTTGCCCTGATTCACAGATTTGGAATCTGAGGCATTAACCACACAGCAGAATTACCTCCCTTGAAGCAAGGGGGCCAAACTCTTGTAAACCCCACCAACAGTCATTGAATGAGGACAAGTGGTTTAGTGAAGGACCATCATAGCTTCCTGGGTGAGGTGGCTGCAGGCAGTGGTGAGTAATTCTTTGGAGAAAGGGGCAGCCGTGAGCCATTGGCATCCACAGTCACTGCTGGGGTGGGGGCTCCAGGCTGGTGAAAGGCCATGTTGGGAGGTCAGCAGAATGGCTACCACTCCAGCCCTCACCAGCACTGCAGAAGCCTTCATGTTGGAATCGCTGCTTCCAGACTCAGCATCACTAATTGACCATCCACACTGCAATCAAGGTGCTCTTTCTCAAAAGAAAATCTGATTGTGTAGCTATTCAAAACTCTGGAGAAAAAAGCTAAACTTTTTTCAACCCTTCAAGATAAGACCTTACACCACCCTCCTAGTCTTCTTCCCTAGAAATCTCTTCACCCACCTGCACTTCAAGACTGTCACACACTCTCACACACACAGCCTGCACAATTTGAACATACTCACCTTTACTCTAGTCCTATCAGACTCGAACACTTCATACTTTCTGTTATTACCTTGCTTTTACACATACTGCTGCTTGATCTGCCTCGATTATCTTTATCACTCCCTTCACCCACTTCTCTACCTGAGAAATTCCTGGTTCTTCTCTAACAGGAAGTGCAGGATCACCTCTGAAGCCTTCTCTGATTTCTTTAGCCAGACCCACCTGAGCTGTCAGAGCACCAGATTACAGCACATGTCCCATTGTGCTGTGATTGTGTACTTAAGCACGTGTCTCTCCAATTGAACACTAAACTCCTCATTTTATGTCCTAGGACTGGCCTGGAGGTAATGCTCAACAAGTGTCAGTTGATCGTCCAGCTTTGTCACCCCTTTCTTAACAAGTTCCATTAGTTTACTGCTCAGTTTCCTGCGATTCTGCCTCACATGCTCCCAATCTGTTTTCTTGAAGCTCCCTGACATACCTCCTTGTTTTCATATTGTGGAATTTGGCCTTCCCAAGGTGGGCTTGGGTTTGGGGAGAAAACCCTGTGGTTCTGATATGCTGCCTGACACAGAGCTGCTTGCCAGAGAGCTAATGGCATGTGTAGATAGCAGAGAAGCAGAACACTATTTGTTTCAGAGAGAGAGACAGAGAGAGAGACAGAGAGAGAGACAGAGAGAGAGAGAGAGAGACAGAGAGAGAGAGAGAGAGACAGAGAGAGAGAGACATAGAGAGAGAGAGAGAGTGTGTGTGTGTGTGTGTTTCCCTGTGTTTACTCCCAAGACTTTGGGGGTCCCTCAGCATCTCCTCCACTCTATTTTTTAAATTGTGGAAAGATTCATATAACATAAAATTAACCATTTTAAAGTGTACAAATCAGTGGCATTTAGAACATTCATAATGTTCAATCACCACTTCTATCCAGTTTCACACATTTTCATTACCCCAAAAGAAAACCCTGTACCTATAGTCATTCCTCATTCTTCCCACCCCCAAGTCCTTGGCAGCAACCAAATTGCTCTCTGTCTCTATGGATTTACCTTTTCTGGATATTTCTTCTAAGTAAAATCATATAATAAGTGACCTTGGTGTCTGACTTCTTCCCCTAAACATAGTGTTTTTGATATTCCTCTATGCTGTAGCATGTATCAGTACTTCATTCCTTTTTATGACTGAATAAAATTCTATTGTATATATATATATATATATGCCACAGTTTGCTTATAAATTCATCTAATGGACATTTGGACGTTTCTACCTGTTGGCTCTTGTGAATTGTGCTATGAACATATGCATGTTCATGTATTTGTTTGATTCCCTGTTTTCAATTCTGGACATATACCTGAGAGTGGAATTGCTGGGTCACATGGTAATTCTATGTTTCACTTCTTGAGGAACCTCTGTTTTTTATAGAAGCTGCACATTTTACTTTTCCACCAGCAATGCACAAGGGTTCCAATTGCTCCAGGTCCTCACCCACACTTACTTTCCATTTTTTCAGTAGTCATCTTAGTGTACTTAAAGTGATTTCTCATTGTGGTTTTCATTTGCATTTTCCTAGTGATTAATTATGTTGAGCATTTTTTCATGTACTTGTTGGCCATTGGTTTAACTTCTTTGAAGGAATGTCTATTCAAGTTTTTTGTCCATTTTTACTTTGGGTTGCTTAACTTCTAGGTTGTTGAGTTATAAGAATTCTTCATATATTCTGAATACTAGATCATTTATCAGATACATGATTTATAAATATTTTCTCCAGTGGGTTGTCTTCATTTTCTTAATAATATCCTTTGCACAGAAGTTTTTAATTTTCATGGTCTAATTTATCCATTTTTCTTTTGTTGCTTATGCTTTTGGTGTCATATCTAAGAATCCATTCTGAATTAAAAGTCTTGAAGCTTTATCCATAGGTTTTCTTCTAAGGGTTTTATAATATTAGCTTTTATAGTCAAGTTGTTGATCCATCTTGAGTTCATTTTTATATATTGTATGAGGTAGGAGTATGGATATCCAGTTGTTCCAGCACCATTTATTGAAGAGGCTATTCTTTCCTTGTTGAATGGTCTTGGCGTACTTGTAGAACAATTGTTCATAGATGTATGGGTTTATTTCTGGACTCTCAATTATACTCCATTGGTCTCTATGCCCATCATTATGCCTGGACCATGCTGCTTTTAGATTAGCATAGCCATGTAGTAGGTTTTGAAACTGGGGAGTCCTCCAACTTTGTTCTTTCTCAATATTGTTTTAGACAATCAAGGCCACTTGCAGTTCCCTATGAATTTTAGAGATTGGCTTTTATGTTTCTTGAAAAAACTCCTATTTTTTTAGTATCATCCCTCAATTTATCTTACAGGTAATACCCAAATCTACATTATCTTCCTTTTCACTTCCTTTTTCATGCTGTCTCACTATGTAAAGGCTGATGGAAGGTTCCTGTTGTACTTTGGGTCAAGAATAAGGTTGCTACAGGTTCCAATAACTTTTCTTTTGTTCTGCCCCTGCTGTTCTTAGAATGTATAAATAATAAAGTATCAAATTTAGTTATTAAAACATTTTTTCATCTGCTCTGTTTCAAGAGCATTTTATAACTTGTAAATAGTTCCTTAAATTTTGCCTCTTCCTTGAAGCCTTCCCAGATTGATTATTGAAAATAAAAAGCTAATTACCTCTTTCTCCGAATGCATTTGAATGTGAGATTCCTAAGTTGTACTCACTTTGATATTATACCCAACTATGTTACGCTTACTTTAATGACAATGCACTTAAAACCACAGAATTTGGAGTTGGAGGGGACCTTAGGAATATAATACAGACTCCTAGTTAAATGTGGTCAAAGAAACACATTCTTTTTTTCTGCTGCCTATTCAGAATCCTCTGAAAGTTCAATAAGTTCAAAATGCATAAACCCCAAGGACAAGGAAATTGGGTGAGCTGATGACAGCAACCACCTTTTGCAAGTTGTAAAGCAAATGGAAGAGTGAGAACTGATTTTGCAAGAGTCAAAATTATGCGGCATGACTGAGGACAAGTATACTGTAATGATAATGGGAATTATGTGAAAGTCAATATTAGATGGTGACATCTCAGCCCTCTTCTCCAACTTAGCTCTGAGAATACTGGCAACCTACGCTTACTCCATTCCTGCCGTGACCCACAGGTGTGTGACTGGATAATTCATTATTGGGAAGACTTTCCAGCCCAAGAGGAGCAAAACCCTGCAGTCTTAATAAGACTATCTCTACTGACCAGGTCAACCTCCTACCCTGACTTACCTCTGCTATTGGTCTCACTCCTCTTAAATGGACAGCTGGGACTTACCCTCAAACAGTCAAGGAAAGCCTCCAGTGTGAAAGAGACCAAAATGAACAAAAAGGAACTCAGAGGCCATGAAGTTGGCAGGAAAACTTGTTTTCAAAGCTTTATTGTTAACTCATGAACACAGAGAAAAGACTGGTGGTTGCCACAGGGGGTGTTGGGGGGAATGGGTGAAATGTAGGGGTAAGAGATAAAGAGGCACAAACTTCCAATATAAAATAACATAGTGAATATAGTCAACAATATTGTAATATCCTTGTGTGTTGACAGATGGTAACTACACTTACCATGGTGAGTATTTAGTAATATATATAATTGTCAAATCATGTTGTACACCTGAAACCAATATTGTATGTCAAGTATATTTCAATAAACAAAAAGCCCTATTAGATATCTGTAGATATCCTTGCACCCCAAAAGAAAGAAGACTTTTTAAAAGGAACATTCAGGACAAAAACAACTCTTAAATTGAAAATGCTGTAGTAGAAATAAAAATGCAACAAAAAGGAAGGAAAATAGGGTGAGGAGACCCCTGAGAACTGAAACCGTCTATACACACACAGCTTACTGTTTACATTTACAAGACTTTTTGTCACCAGTATAACTTTACTATTACAGGGAACTCTTTCACAGGGCAATAAAAGATGTAAAAAATTTTGTTTATTCTGGGAATTTTCCTCTGTGAAAAACCCATTTAAAAGAACATTAAACTGTTCAGCTTAACCATAGATAGCATCAAGCAGTTTACTCGAGACTTTGAATCCTTCACAAGTCTCAAAATCCTTGCATTCTCTGTCCACCAGCCCTAAACTCTTGTCCAGTCCTAATCAAACCCTAACGTTGGAAGGCTTCCCTAAACCAGACTTCAAAACTTCATAGGTATCTCTATTGTCACTTAAGAGAATGGAAATCCAATCCTGTCTGATCTCCCTGTGCTCTGTGTGAGACCTCAACCTGAGAAAGGGTTCTTGACTCTGATAAAGAATTCATGGTCAAGGAGGGAGTGTGGGCTTGCTCCAGAGAAGAACAGCATGGTGGGGTTCGGGTTGGGTGGTCTTATAGCTGGAGATTAAGCTGGGGGTAGAATATTCATCAGTATATATGGGGTTTCCTCAGAATAAGTAGTGGATTTAGGGGAAATACGGTGACAGCCCCTTTTTGTCCTTTTAGCCTCAGGACTGTCATGGCACCAAGGGGTGTGATTTTCATTATACTAATGATTATATAATGAATTTGGAGGTGAAGTCAGTGTCAAGTTCTCCATGGTGGAACCAGTCAGTTTTGGCAGGTTTGTTATCTATACCCTCACTCCCCACTTCTGGTAAGGATGGTTTACATGGAATATTTAGACTATAAACAAGCACCTAACTGATGTAAACACAAGCCAAAGTGCCCAACCCCCTCCCTGCTCATGTCTGATTATCTACCTACTATAACATCTCAACTTTGCCCTTCCGTCTCTGGAAGGCCGCTGAGTTAGTGCTCTCCCTTACTCCAGTAAGAATAAACTCAGCTTTTTTTATACCAACAGGTTGATTTGGGGATATTTTGGTGGAGCCAAAATCATCACCTCTCAAAAACTAGTACAAAAAAGACAGAGAGGGGGAAAAATGGAAGAAAAAAGATGAGAGTGAAAAGATCAATTCAGGAGATCTAAAATCCAAATTATAGGAATTCCAAAAATACAAAAATGGTGAGGAGAAAAATATCAAAGAAATAATTTAAGGAAATTGCCTCTAACTGAAGGGCATATATTTTCAGAACAAGAAGACATGATGAATCAAAGGACATTTGTATCAAGGTTAAAATCATTGTTAAAATGCCAGAAAATTTTAGATACATAGAAAGGAAACTAAGTTCTTGGTGGCTTGCAGGTTGAGATTACTGCCACCAGATGGCAGTACTGCATCAAAGGGTCTATTTCTAAGAAATTGTGTTGTTTTTCTTTTCATAAAATTTCTCCATCTCTTTCCAAATCACTAAAAAGAGAGAGGCTCGGTTTGGATTCTTTCCATCTAGTCATGCTCTGTCAGGGCTTTCATTCTGATTTCTTCCTAAAAGGCTGTGCTAAAAGGTCAATATACAATCAGCTTGAAGGAAGAAAAAAGACAGTTCTTTATGAGGAACTGATTCATGTGACTCTGAGGGGGGAAAAGACTTTCAAGAGAATGGATTCTGATCTATAATTGCCTGTTGTGGACAGGGTGACTTCTGTCATGCAGGACTTGTACAAAGCATTCATTCATTATCAACACGTGTTATTGATGCCAGGTACTATGCTAGGCAACAGGAATACCCCAATAAAAAACCCAGACACAGTCTTTTGTCTTCACGTAGCTTACACTCTGAGGGGAGATATATGCAACAAATAAGTTACATATCTATCTGAGGATTTTGATACAAGTTAGGGTGGAAGTAAACAGACAAGTTAGGAAGTTGTTGCAGTTGTCCAGGTGGGAGATACAGATAATTTGTATTAGGACTATGCTAGGGGAAAGAGAAGCAGATGAATTCAAGATATATTGGAGGTAGAATTGACAGAACTTGGTCACTGTATGGCTCTGGAAGTTTGGAGAACAGACGCATTAATGTCTCTGGATTGAACAAGTGGCTGAGTACGTGGATTGCCATTTCCTCAGGTAGGGAAGACTTGGAGAGAAAGCAGTTTTGGAGGAGGGGATGGTAGATAGAATCGAGAGTTCAGTGAGGATTGTTAATTAAATTGGTCTTTCTCCCCAGGCATTTGAGTTTGGTGGATATCACTGATCAGACTAGGATGGGGTTGCTATGATCTGCTGCTAGTTAGAATGGCTTGCTCTGACATATTTGGTTTAAATTGGCTCATGGTTGGCATTCAGTAAAATTGCTATTAACTCAGCTTTTTACAGAGCAGTAGCAAAATCCGCTTAACTTTGCAGTGTCTTTTCAGAGGTAGGCATTTGAAGTTAAAAGAGAACAAGACAGAGCACCTTCTACATTTTATTTTTTGTACTCTCCAGAAGGGGCACACAATCTCAAAGACTATCTTCTAGAGAATGTAAGACCAGTTGTTTTGGTGGATCCTTCTGAGTTCCCATGAGTGAGATTCTGGAATGACAGAGGTGAACATTTCTTCGCTTGACTCTGAGGACAGAGACCATGTCTGTCTCATTTTGTCCCCAGCATAGTGCCCGATATATGTATACTCAATAAATACATGTTGAATTGAAACCATTCCTGCTGGAAATTTTTCTAGGCTCCAGACGTCAGCTAAGCTCTCCATTAGACTTGAAATATCTCACATTACCTATTTCCCAGAAAGCTGTTACATCATAAGCTGCAGGCTGAGAGGAGGTGTCTGTCTAGACTCATGGCTTAGGACCACAGTACCAGGTATGTTAGAGAAAGGCACATTTCCTTCCTTTTCCCTACACCCTGCTCCACTGGAACATTGTGCCATTATCAACATGGTGTTAAGGCAGAGTTTATTGTCAACTTAGCCCTCAACATCAGTATTCTCATTTGTAACCTAGAGTACATGCGTTCGTTCTGTAACATCCTCATAATCAACAGTTATCTCACTCACCTTCTTTGATTCACTCTTCACATTCTCTTCATACCTACTTGTTTCACCTTTGAACTCTGTTTCTTGGGGAGTAAGAATTGTATCTTTCTAAACTTTATACTTTGATACAATTTAGAACAGTATAGGCTTTGATGATATCAAGTAGTGGCCTAGGAGAGCTTCAGCTAGCTCCACCAATTTTCACAAACCCCATAACCCCCCTTCGGAATCATAATTAACATATAAAAAGAATCTTTTAGAAAGTACATTATTTTCTGTTGTGTAGCATGCTAAGTAAAAACAGCGTGCTTACTATGCAGCAGCAGTGTGAAGACAAGTCCTCTAGCTTCCCCTTATGCCAGATTGCTACTCCTGAGCACTTCCCATGCAAAAATCTGATGCTCCAAATTGCTCAAGATTGTTGACAACTGTTGTTAAAGAATGGGAACCAATGCCTGCCAAAGGATGCATTATTTCCCTGAGAGCTGAGTCCTCCTTCTGTTTCCTTCTCTTCCTCCCATTTGGTTATGTTGTTTTTGAGTTGTGGCCTGTATTCTGGATTCCCAGAGGACTCTGTCCTTATTTATCTTTATATGTGTGATTCTTGTTTGGGAAAAAGACATGTCTAAAGTCTGGTGAAAAGTCCCTCTTGAACGTTTGCGTAAAATGTTAAGTAAGGAAAAAGTTGGACTATCATTTGAAAGCCAAACCATCGTAAGTTCTTACAAAGCAATGCAAATAGAGGGTGTTTAAACAAACTGAAATTCTGGGAAGTTTTTATATAGCAAGTTTTGGTTCAAAGCATTTGGGGAGGGTAGTTTGGAAATACCATATCGCATTTATACCTCAATGTAAATAATAAAATGTATAAAATAGTTTTCCTATATATTGTGTTCCCTCATTCAGAAGATTTTCTTAGTCTCAGGTTTTTCTCTTAAAAATGAAGATGTACTCAGTCAACAGAACAAAATAAGAGGCTTAAACATTGAAAAGGAGATGGCAAAATTATTGTTATTTGCAGATGACATACCTGGAAAACCTAAAGTATTCAATTTAAAAGTTATTAGCATACTCTTTTAGTATATCTCAAATACTGCATGGGACATACACTAAAATTTTTTTATTGTTATCTTTAACTGGAAGTACTGTATTTTTATTTGTTAAATCTAGAACCATATTAAACTGGGTTGGTCTGCATGACCAGTAGTATATGACAGAAATAATGGATGTCACCTTCAAAATTAGGCTATAAAAGACTGTGGCTTCTGTCTTGGACATGCACCCTGGTCTCTCACTCTGGGTGAAGCAAGCTGCCAAGTTGTGAGCATCCCTATGGAGAGAACTACCTGGCAAGAAACTAAAGCCTCTGGCTCATAACAAGTGAGAAACTGATGCCTGTCAGCAACAATGTGAGTGAGCTTAGAAGTAGATCCGTCAGCTCCAGTCAAGCCTTGAGATGACAGCAGCCCCAGCCAACACTTTCAGAGCGACCTTATGAGAGACTAAGCCAGAACTGCTTAGGTAAGCTGCCCCCAGATTCCTGTCCCCTAGAAACTGTGCAAGATAAATGTTTTAAAATGCAAAATTTTGGGATAATCTATTATGCAATAATAGATAAACAATACACTGACCCACTTAGATA